CCTGCTGATGGCCTTAAGGCCAAGGTGCCACAAGCCCCAGGCCCAGCTGCAGAGGGCAAGGAGCCCCAGAGCCCACCCGCACCCAAGGGCTGGGTGGCTGCAGATCTTCAGGGAGCAATTTCCCCCATATCTCAGTCGTTCGCAACGATGAGCTGGGATTTTCAGGTGTCCTTAAAAAAATTTAAAAATTTTACTAACAAATCGTATTTACTAGGATAGACCTCACCCAAGAGACACTTTGCAACCTCAACTTCAAGACAATTAATGCTGCAGACTAAATTTGGCAGGATCCTCCGACAACAGGTCCCGTATCCTGCCAGCAGACACTACCATACGATATTAGGAACAATTATCTACAGTAGTTTTCCCCTACATGAAATATGAACTATGGATCAAAGTGCAAAGAGCAGCACTATCAAAAAAATGTCATTCTTCCTTTCTTGACTTGAGCCAATAGACTGTAGAGTTTAAAAAATTCGGTCTGTCTTCTCCCTGCTTCGTGATGTCTTGACACATGTTTCACCGATCAAAGTGATTTCCAAACAGGATTCACCTTCGGCATCTTTAGAGAGATATGTATATGATCTTGTTACGTAACGAGAAAATGGAGACAGAGAAATTAAGTAATTTTCCTCAGAGATGGTGATTCACCACAAAATCCACGGCTGCTGCTCCGACCGAGCCTCGTGCTTAAACCGGGAGGCAACTCTACTGCTTTAATTGAAAGCCACACCTAAACCCACAAAAGATTCTCAAGTTTTAATCAGAAATACCCTGCTAGATAATCTCTGCCTTCCTCCCAAACAGCCAATTACAAAACATGTTTTCTCCAACCCCAGAGCTTGCACTCAGGAGAACAGTAATACAGCAAATTAACCATTAAACCAAGCCTACTTACGTTTTCATTTTTCAAAATGAGCTTCAAGATTGCTTCTCTTTGTTTCAGAGCCTTAAACAGAGGAGAAGAAAGTTAACCAGAGCACAAAAATAAACACACGTGACATCCACCTCAACTTGGCATTGCGTAGGCCTTCGGTCACGGTTCAGCGACACAACCTGATCCCTCAAACCGGAGAGGTGATACACACCAAGGAAACCTCTCGGATGCCAAATCACTCGGCGAAACGAGATCCAGGGTACTCTGACTCCAGGAGCACGGAAAACAAAACATTGGAGCATGTAAGTAGAGGGAAAGGGAAAAACACACTGACATTCAGTCTTACTTTGCCCCAAGTGAAAGCAGCTGTCTCCCAAGATTTCCCATCATCTTTAACCGAGGGCAGACTCTCTAGATTCATAGATTTCATAGATTTCTAGGTTGGAAAAGACCTTAGAGATCATCGAGTCCAACTGTCCCTAATCCCCATTAAACCATATCCCTAAGTAGCTCATCCACCCTATTCTTAAACACATCCAGGGATGGGGACTCAACCACCTCCCTGGGCAGCCTATTCCAGTGGCTGACAACCCTTTCAGAGAAGAAATACTTCCTAACATCCAACCTGAACCTCCCCTGACTAAGCTTGTACCCATTTCCTCTTGTTCTATCACCCATCACTAATGTAAAGAGCCCTTCCCCCACCTCCCCACCATCCCTTCTCAAGTATTTGTAGGCTGAATACAGCCTACAAATCCCTAGATCTAGGGGATGCTTTCAGTATTTTGCTAAATCAGATGAAGAGGATCAAACTGTTGTGCTTAAAAAAATAAAAAATAATACCTATTTCTACAGATGATGCTCGGGAAATTTTAAGCAGTGTAAATCACATACTGCAATGAGGTTGCTGAAAGAAACAGTTAAGTCCTGAGCATGTCCTTCCTAGCAAGGTAAAACACAGGCAGCAAAGAGACTGCTTTTTGTGTCTCCCAAACCCAAACTTGTCCTAAATTCACTTGCATTGTCAAAAGAGAAAAAACTACTCCATGGATACTCTGGCAGCTGAACAGGCTATACTCTGTCTCGAAAAATACTTCTTCCATTTCCTTCTGCCTTGCAGACAATTTCTTAGGAGTAGTTTGGGGCATTTTCACCTCCAACTTGGTTACAAAACCTACAAGGCTTTAGCTGCTCTGCACACCCTCCCAACCCACAGCGTGTAAACTACCTCAGCTCGCAATAAAAGGGCTGAAACCCATCTTGGTTGCATCACCAAGTACCACAGACAAGAGACAGGCAGTAAGTTCATGACATGGCTGTGGCAGGGTAAGAAAAGTTACTGCCTGTGCCCTAAGTGGCACCTCCTGTTGTAATTCTGATCCTGGGAGAGGAAGCCAACCCCTATAATATCCTGAGGCGCTGTTACCTGCGGATAATTCAACCTTCTAACCATGGTTCTCGATAGAAAGACATGATAAAGTACTAAAATATCCATCCTTGCCCCTTACTAACTCAAGAAAAACTTGAGATGAGTAAGGTGTAGGAAACCCCGTGAGCAAGCACCACGAAAAAGCAGTTACTAGGTTACGAACGCTTTGTTTCGAAAAGCATCCACCCACAAGGAGTGAAAGCCAGTTCAAACAAGATGGGTCTGGGAACGTGACTACTGTCTTGCACAATCAAGAAGAGTTTTACTCCTCCAGTTCTAAGTTTCTGCAAAAAATGAATAATAAAGGGCATTTCTGGAGCCAGAAGGGAATATTGACGACCACGACTGAGCTCTTTATAATAATGACACAAAAAATGTCTTGTGATATCGCCAAGTGTTCAAAGGTGACTAAAATACCTTGAAAAGGATGGCAACAGCAAAACTTAGAGTAAGGGCAACCTTGTGATGGCTGCCCTAACTGATAAAGGCCTTAATTACTGCCTGTTTGGTGAAATTGTAGATGCTCCATCCCTGGAAGTGTTCCAGGCCAGGTTGGATGAGGCTTTGGGCAACCTGGTGTAGTGGAGGGTGTCCCTGCCCATGGCAGGGGGGTTGGAACCGGATGATCTTTGAGGTCCCTTCCAACTAACCGCTCTGTGATTCTATGATAAAAGACTCAAGGAATCAAGATTTCTGTGAGAAACTTCACTTTAAAAAGCAAAGCTATATATGTGCTTCTAAAAAACTAAAACCAGCTACAAAATAACACAGTCTGTCTTGGAGAAAAAACCCGGTGCTGGGTGTTTCCTGGCGGATACGGCCCGTAGCTCGGTCACCAGGCACGTTGCTCAGGTGACTCGCCACAACTTACAGGTTGGTTGATGTGAAAGCGGGTGGGCATTCTCCTCATGATGGCGGAGTCCAGGTCCTGAGGACGGTTGGTGGCTCCCATCACTATCACCTGTATGCACCAGCAGAAAAAACTAGTCAGCCTGAAACCAGCTTCCCAAAACGTCGCCACGTCGGAGTTTCAAAGCCAAACACGCCAGACTTCCAGATACCAAGAACATCAACATTCAAGGAAGCTACACAAGGTTTCTTGGTACTCATTTCAGCAACTGGATTTAAACAGGCAGCTTAAACGAGCATTGGTACCACAGAGTGCCATCTGGGTGGAGATTTTTACGTTAGTCTGAAGCCTTCTGAGCCCAGTTTGAAAGTTCAAACTCTGAGCAGTAACCCAAAACTGCTTCTAAGTCTTGTCGATGTCTCTTTAGTTCCTGGGTGGGCTGGAAGGTACTTGAAAGGAGACGTTTCGATAAGGTATTAAAAAAAAAATAAATAAAGTGGCATTTTTGTGCTGTGTTGGGAGGGGAAAAAAAAAAAAAGAAAAAAAAAAAAGAAAAAAAAGGGCAATGAGTTCATCAGGATGACCAAACGGGCAGCTTGCACTAAAATGTTGTTTCTTTTTTCAGCATGAAAAAAAAAAAAAAGCTCTAGAAGTCAGTAAGAAGCAAACCAGTACACTGTACCAGCAGCACCACAGATGTGTGCAAGCCAAGTTCAACACAAGGAGAGCGTTTCCCTCACTTGACCGCGGTCCAGCTCGTAGTTGAAGAACCAATTTACGTGCCACTCACATCAGCCTTGCTTTCTCATTTGTTACTCTAAGTTATGTACACTGTCAACAGCCAGTCAGGAAAGTGAAAAATGCCAGGGAAATTCATCTCCCATCGAGACAGTTTCCTGACATGCTTCTGGGTCTTTTGTCCGGGGTCACTGTTGCGCAGCCAGGGCCGGGCTGTGTCCCTGAACAGAGCCACCATGCCATCTAGAGGCTTATTTATCCGGTGGCAAATTGCCATGTGCAGAAAAAGCCCCAAAAGCTCATTTTTCGCCAGGGCTCCGGCGTTCTTCACCTCCTAGAAAGCCTCACGCACGGAAGCGCTTCGCTCTTGCCGGCGTGCCAATGTTTGGCTGAGCTGCCTCTTGCAGAGGGGCATCGATGTACCCATGCCAGGTGTCCCCAGGGTCTGCATCGAGGCTCAACACGTTGTTCCCTCCGTGCTGCCGGAGCTGAGGAGCCTTCCCAGAATCATAGGATCATAGAATGGTTAGGGCT